AAAATGATGCTTTTTTTCCTTTCTAGAAATAAAAATGTTTTGCAACAAAGAAAATACGAATCATAGAAATTATTTTGTAATATATAAAAACTAGTATCTGATCCTTTTTATTCAATATTCATTTAAATGCAATAAACTTTCCTAATTAAATTTGGTTTGAAATGCTTTAAATTCTTAGATATATGGCTTGCTTTTTAAATATATTTTTGAGGCCAGTGCCATGGCTCAATAGGCTAATCCTCCCGCTGGTACCCCGGGTTCTAGTCCACGTTGGGGCGCTGGATTCTGTCTCGGTTGCCCCTTTTCCTGTCCAGCTCTCTGCTATGGCCCAGGAGTGCAGTGGAGGATGGCCCAAGTGCTTGGGCCCTGCACCCGCATGGGAGACCAGGAGAGGCACCTCTTTCCTGGCTTCAGATCAGCGCAGTGCACCGGCCACAGTGCACCGGCTGCAGCACGCCGGCCGCAGCGGCCATTGTAGGGTGCACCAATGGCAAAGGAAGACCTTTCTCTCTGTCTCTCTCTCTCACTGTCCACTCTGCCTGTCAAATAAATATATATATATATTTTTTGAAAGTTTCTGAGAAAGAGTAAAACCTTAGTAAAAGAATACTTCTTAACTCTTTGGCAAGAATTTCTTATAAATAAAATTCATAAGAACATAAATATACAATTCAAGGCCAATTTATGTCCTCACAATTTTGACAATTTTATAGGAATAATACCCAGAAGCCTTCATTGACTATAAACAATACCTGAGAAGGCATCATTATTATGATATGTAGTATGCTTGCTGAACAAAGCAATGTATCTGATTATTATGAAAATGCATGAGAATTAAACACTTGTGCTTGTCATTCAAAGTGTATAAATTTTGAAAGTGTGATAGAGTCAGAGATGTGGAAGCAACATGAATGAAGATAAGGCTGTAGGGCTGAACCCCGAATTGAGATCTTACAGGATAATATTACAGATATCACCCCACCCAGCATGACATGCATTTTATAGCAGATCTTAATAGCTATTGAAGTATTACCATTTTATTTGTTCATTACATATTGTATTTCATTAATCTCACACTATCATTTTTCTTATATGCAATGCTAAATCCAAATGTTAAATTCTGGAGAAAACCACAACATAATGTCATCTTTGACTGCACATGAATATTGGGAATTGTGTAAGAAAACATTACTTATTCCTGGACTTCATTGTCCATTTCTTCTTCAGTGAGGGGTGTTTTGAATCTGAGTTTAGTACATGGCCATATTGGCCATCATGGCATTCTTCAGTCTCTTTTGTAGCTAGGTCTGTCTGCTTGATTGAATCCATACCAAGAGCAAGATAGGCAGAAGTGAGCTCCACCGTTTCCAGGCTGTGTTCTTTCAGGGAAGGGACACTTCCTTTTTCCAAATATTTAAGTCTTCTGGCTGGGTGGTGGAAATGAAGGATAGATCAGAATTCATTAAGATAGAAAGCTTAAAGCTATAGTTCATAACCAGGTGATGAGCCTCTCTTCCACCTCTGAATTACCTTTTAGTTGAAGGTAGCATGGTGTGTGTGTGTGTGTGTGTGTGTGTGTGTGTGTGTGATGTACTAGCAGGCCTAATCATAATTAACACAAAAGGTGAAACTGTTTCTATCTAAAGTCTGCTTCTGTGCTGTACCAATGGCCACTAATGGTACCTGATATTTTCCTCTGGAAATTAACATGCATTTGCATTGGAGAAATTATCCAAGTTTACCATAGTGCCTAGTGTTAAAATATATCAAATATATCATGCTCTTTTCAACTATTAAAATGTTTGATAGTGTTTTATTTTGTAGTGATTCTTAATAAGTTATTTATTTGTACTTCATTTCTATTTTGTACTAAGTCACTTAATTCTATGTCTCTGACTTTTCTTTCTTTTTTGTTTTGTGGTACATAGATTTTGGAATCTATCAGGTATGTATCCAAACATTAGTAATGTTTTCTTCCACCCATCCTCACAATCACTAGAGATGATTCAGACATTTTTTATTGTACTGAACACCTTTTAACAGCTTTATTATAAAAATTGATGTTTTGAAACAAAAAATTTGTCATCAATTAATAAGATACAAATGTTCTGCATGTTTGTTTAATGCCTAGAGTAATAAAATAAAAACTAAATACACAGAAATATTTTCTTTTTTAATAAATTTCATATTTAAAATTTTTAGGCCGGCGCTATGGCTCACTAGGCTAATCCTCCGCGTGCAGCGCCAGCACCCCGGATTCTAGTCCCTGTCAGGGTGCCGGATTCTGTCCTGGTTGCTCCTCTTCCAGTCCAGCTCTCTGCTGTGGCCCAGGAGTGCAGTGGAGGATGGCCCAAGTGCTTGGGCCCTGCACCTGCATGGGAGACCAGGAGAAGCACCTGGCTCCTGGCTTCAGATCAGTGCAGTGTGCCGGCTGCAGCGGCTATTGGGGGTGAACCAATGGAAAAGGAAGACCTTTCTCTCTGTCTCTCTCTCTCTCATTGTCCACTCTGCCTGCGAAAAAAATTTTTTAGAGGAAAAGAATATATTCCTCCCTCCCTCAACTCCCCTCCTCTCTTCCTTTATTTTTAATTTTATGTTTTTTGCAAAAACATAATTTCAATCCACTCTATAATCACAGGCTTAATGCACCATTCACCATGAAATTCAACAAGTAAAAAATAGAAAGACCACATTTTCATGGTAGTATAAACAAGAGCTAAAAAAAAAAAATCAGAAGATGTCTATTTCATCCTTATATATTTTTGTATTATATATTAACTACCACATATCAGAGATAACATATGATATTTGTCTTTTTGAGATTGGCTTATTTCACTCAGAATAATAGTTTTCAGTTGTATCCATTTTGTTGTGAAAGAGAGATTTTCACTTTTTATGGATGAGTAGTATTCCATAGTTACGTTAACCACATTTTCTTTATCCCATCATAGGGAAGCAATGCAAAGGAATATTAGTAGAAATATACATATATACACTTCTGTTTCACATAAGTATACTCTTATACACATATATGGACAGATATATACATATAGACATTTGTTTAAAGATTTATTGATTTGAGAGGTAGAATTACAGGCAGAGACATGGAGAGACATACAGAAAGGTCTTCCATCTTCTGTTTCACTCCCCAAATGGGTGCAACAGCTAAAGGTGGGCCAGTCTGAAGGCAGGAGCCAGGAGCTTCTTCCAGGTTTCCCACACAGGTGCAGGGGCCCAAGCACTTGGGCAGTCTCCTACTGCTTTCCCATGACATAGCGAAGAGCTGTATCAGAAGAGTAGCATCTGGGACAAAAACCGGTGCCCATATGAGATGCCAGAGCCTCAGGCATAGGCTTAACCCACTATCTCACAGTGCTGGCCCCAATATCGACAATTTTATAGTATAAATAATGGGGTATAGAGTAAGTGATTAGTTCACAGAAATACAAGGAGGGAGTCTCCTCTAGTTTACAAAGAGGCGAATAGCCTTCTCTCTCTTATTACAAGTTTTGAATTTCCAGTTTAAGATGAAGGTGATATCGCTCTATGGTACTCCTGTCACATATTTGGAAACAATCTTATGACAAATTAAGCAGTTTTATGCCTGTCGGGTGAGGCATTTGCTTTAAAAATGCAAATGTGAATGCCTATGATGGGTTAAAGAATAGTTAGCCCTGTGCTATGCTTCTCGGCACAGCACAATGGAGATGTACCTGAAGGGCAAGATGTTACTTGGAGGTATCTATGCTTGCTCTCTTAAGGCAACTTGTTTCAAAGGCTGTGAAGCTAAGAGGCCTCAGAAAAATACAGCCTTGAGTTTCATGTAGAATTGTTATCTAGAAATGCCTCTACAATAAAACTGATAGATCTGCTCTCCGAGTCAAAGGAAAGAAAGAAAGAATTTAGGGAGAAAAGAGAAATAAACATTAAGATTCTACAACCAACATGACAAAATGTGGGAGCTGAGCCACTGATGGATGACATCAAGAGTTATGTATGCTTATGATTGGGACTAGTTACCTCCAAGGAGGAATGACATGAGTTTTCTAGTAGTTGTTCCGAAGAACATTAACAGGAGGTTAACTGAGCAAGGAGGAGAAGAGTAACTTATCAGTGAGACATCTCCTTTTCCAATGGGGAAAAAAACGCATATTTTTTGCCCAAAATGGAGAGTAAGTTTGAAGATAAAAGGACTAGGTAATACAAGACAATTTTTCAATTTTAACTATTCCATGTGAATAATTAGCCCATGTGAAACAATATAGCTTTTAAATTTGGGAATCTTACAATATATACATGAAAAAGCAATATCTCTTTGGGATAAGGGAAAATGAGCATAGGACTGTAAGGGAAACAAAGGTGATATCATATTACCAAAATTGTGAAGAAATGAGTAATGCATAAATACATGTCAAAATACACAAAGTTTATCTTGTGTATTTATTTCTGTGCATTTTTTCATTATAGTATTTCCTTATTATGGATAGGAAATTCCTTATCACTCGTAATCTCCCTCCATATTCACTGACATCTGTCTATGTCCTTACTAAGAATTTGGGATTGAATTTTGTATCTTCCAAATGGTTAAAATAATTTTATAGAGATTACACTTTCAAGAATGTTTGCTTATAGACTTCAGTGGAACAGGTCAGGTACAAAAAAGCTATTGAAAACACCAGAGTATATTGACTAGATGGTTTTCCTCTTTTAATTAAAAAAAGTTTTGTCGTAAATTCCCAAATGTACACAAAAGAAATACGATCACACACATGGAAACCTTTTTTATTTGAAACATTTTTTGTTTTCCTCTATGGCATCCCAGAAATGGTGCTGCCATTCATATGACTAATCCTATGAGTCCACTCCTGCCCTTGGCATTTTTATTCCAAGTAATCAAATACTAGCAGTAATTTCATTACTTGTGGACGTGCATTGCAGTTTCTGGATTGTTTTCTTACCAAACTTTCACTAAAAATTATAATTTTTCCTAAACAAGATATTCATTTTTGCAGAAAACTTCTTTCAAGTAACTTACTTAGGGCAACCATGACATCTTTATTCCTCAGGCTGTAGATAAGTGGATTCAGCATGGGCACAATGATGGTATAAAACACAGAGGACACTTTGCCTTGGTCCAGGGACTTGACAGATGATGGCTGTAGGTACATAAATGCTAGAGAACCAAAGAATACACCAACAGCTAAAAAGTGGGAGCTGCAAGTGCTGAAGGCTTTGGACCTACCCTCAGTGGAGCGGATACCAAGGATGCTGCCAATGATAAATACATAGGAGCCGAGGATGGTCAGGATTGGGACAAGGATGTTGAATGCACTGAAGCACAAAACCACCATCTCATTAACATAAGTGCTAGAACAGGATAGTCTCAGCAGTGGGAAAAGATCACAGAAGTAGTGATTGATGACATCAGCCTTACAGAATAGCACTCTTAACATGCAAGCTGTATGTGCTGTGGCACCAATCAAACTCATGATATACACCCCAGCAACCAACCAGGCACAGACTTCACAGGACATGACAACATTGTAAAGCAACGGACTACTGATGGCAACATAACGGTCATACGCCATCGCAGCCAACATATGACACTCCGCGATAGCAAAAACAAGGAAGAAGTAGAGCTGAGCCATGCATCCAGGGTAGGAGATGGTGTTCTTCTCTGTCACAAAGTTGACCAACATTTTGGGGGTAATGACCGTGGATTGGCAGAGATCAATGAAGGACAAACTGCTGAGGAAATAGTACATGGGGGTGTGCAGGTGAGAACTGAGCCCAATCAGCATGATCATGCCCAGGTTACTGACAACAGTGACCACGTAGATTCCCAGGAAGAGGAGGAAGAGGGGCAGCTGCAGCTCTGGCTGTTCTGTGAGCCCAGCCAGGAGGAACTCCGTCACTATGGAATGATTTCCTGCTGTCATTGCTTTGAGTCTGTTTCTGAAGGGAAAAGAGAAAAACAGGGGTACAGGGAATACTTTCTTGATATTTTTTTTGAAGAAGGTATTCTCTGGTCATTCATACATCTGACTAATTAACTCTGGGCCATTTTAGTCCATAGAATTTGCTCAATATAATATTTGTTAAACTTTATATTTTAAATATAAATATAATATTGTTAAACTATTTTATTTTAAACATAATTCAAATGAAACATATTACTTGTTTGTCATACTGCAATTGGAAAACTCCAAGGAATTTACATTCTATTTTGAAATTTTCAATTTTCTTCAAGCCAGCATTTCTAAATTGAGATGTGCAGATTAAATAAATAAAGAAGAAGTCAATGAAAGTGAAACTGGCAGGATGGTAACTTGGAGACTGCAAGCCCTTTCAATGGGCAGTAACCTGAAACTACTTTCTGATAGAGATAGTGTTATTGTCTGATTTTTCAATGTATCATGCAATATCAGGAAATGTTAATTTGTTCATGAACCTTTAGAATTTTTAAAAAAGTATTTATAAAAAGGGAACAGGTTTCATGTATTTCATATATATAATTTTAAGAGCATAATGAGACTTTCCACTCTATCTTCCCTCAATCCCTCACACTCACCCTGCTTTCTCTTATTATTTTTCTTTTCATTTTTACAATGACATACTTTCAATTTCCTTTATAATCACCAGCTTAATCTTTCACTAAATAAAGAATTCAACAAGTAGAAAAACCATGGTTCCTCAAGAGTAAAGTCAAGTGATATAAATAATAATCAAGTCTTAAATGACAATTTCACTCATATACATTACATTGTTTTGTACTCTGAATATTAATCACTACAAATCAGGAAAAACATATGATATTTGCCTTTTGGAGATTTACTTATTTCACTAAGTGTAATGGTTTCCAGTCACATTCATCTTGCTGCAAAACACATCATTTAATTTTTTTCTTATGGCTGAGTAATATTCCACAATGTATATACACCATGATTTCTTTATCCACTCATCAGTTGATTGGCATATGGGTTGACTGCATATCTGAGTTACTGTGAGTTGAACTGTTATAAACAAAGGGGTACAGATAACTCTTTCATAAACAGATTTCATTTCCTTTGGGTAAATTCTCAAAATATTATTGTTAAAATGAAATAATACAATTATTATATATAATTTTACCTTGACTGAAAGCCTTTCTTTATCTATATCTCAAAATTTTTGAAATATCAAAATTACAACATAATTTAGTATAATTTTTGTGATTTGTTTCTTTTTTTATTGACGTCTAGACTATGTCGAATTCAATTGTTCACTTCACACATTTTAATCTTGTTTTGTATTCCTTTTTAAAAATGTCCACTAATTTCACTGTGTTTCAGTGAATATAGTCTGAAATACTTAAATAATACCTCATAATACATATTTTGATTAGATTTTATGAATAGCCCAAATTCATGTTAAAGAAATATGTTGTCTGGTTCTTTTCAGATCTAGAAAAAATGATGCTGAAATTCATATGGAGATACAGGAGACCTCGAATAGCTAAAGCAATCTTGTACAACAAAAACAAAGCCAGAGCCATCACAATACCAGATTTCAGGACATACTACAAGGCAGTTGTAATCAAAACAGCATGGTACTGGTACAGAAACAGATGGATAGACCAATGGAACAGAATTGAAACACCAGAAATCAACACAAACATCTATAGCCAACTTATATTTGATCAAGGATCTAAAACCAATTCCTGGAGCAAGGACAGTCTATTCAATAAATGGTGATGGGAAAACTGGATTTCCACGTGCAGAATCATGAAGCAAGACCCCTAACTTACACCTTACACAAAAATCCACTCAACGTGGATTAAAGACCTAAATCTACGACCCGACACCATCAAGTTATTAGAGAACATTGGAGAAACCCTTCAAGATATTGGCACAGGCAAAGACTTCCTAGAAAAGACCCTGGAGGTGCAGGCAATCAAACCAAAATTAACTATTGGGATTGCATCAAATTGAGAAGTTTCTGTACTTCAAAAGAAACAGTCAGGAGAGTGAAGAGGCAACTGACAGAATGGGAAAAATATTTGCAAACTATGCTACAGATAAAGGATTAATAACCAGAATCTACAAAGAGATCAAGAAACACCACAACAAGAAAACAAACAACCCACTTAAGAGATGGGCCAAGGACCTCAATAGACATTTTTCAAAAGAGGAAATCCAAATGGCCAACAGACACATGAGAAAATGTTCAAGATCACTAGCAATCAGGGAAATGCAAATAAAAACCACATGAGGTTTTACCTCACCCCGGTTAGAATGACTTACATTCAGAAATCTACCAACAACAGATGCTGGAGAGGATGTGGGGAAAAAGGGACACTAACCCACTGTTGGTGGGAATGCAAACTGGTTAAGCCACTATGGAAGTCAGTCTGGAGATTCCTCAGAAACCTGAATATAACCCTACCATACAACCCAGCCATCCCACTCCCTGGAATTTACCCAAAGGAAAGTAAATTGGCAAACAAACAAGCTGTCTACACATTAATGTTTATTGCAGCTCAATTCACAACAGCTAACACCTGGAATCAACCTAAGTGCCCATCAACAGCAGACTGGATAAAGAAATTATGGGATATGTACTCTATAGAATACTATACAGCAGTCAAAAACAATGAAATCTGGTCATTTGCAACAAAATGGAGGAATCTGGAAAACATCATGCTGAGTGAATTAAGCCAGTCTCAAAGGGACAAATATCATATGTTCTCCCTGATCGGTGACAACTGACTGAACACCAAAAAGGAAACCTGTTAAAGTGAAATGAACACTATGAGAAACAGTGACTTGATCAGCCCTTTTCCTGACTGTTGATGTACAATTTAATACTTTATCCTTTTTAGTATTTTTTTTTTGTTCTACTAAATACTACTGGTTTAATTCTGTAATTAATACACAGTTATTCTTAAGTGTTGAAACTTAACTGAAAAGTGATCCCTGTTAAATATAAGAGTGGGAATAAGAGGGATATGTACAATTTGGGACATGCTCTATCGGACTTGCCCCAAATGGTAGATTTAGAAATGTGTCAGGGTATCCCAATACAATCCCATCAAGGTTGCTTGTACCAATGCCATCTCACTAGTCCAAGTGATCAATTTCAGTTCACAATTGATCATACTGATAGGTCTAAGAGTCAAAGGGAGCACACAAACAAGACTAGTGTCTGCTAATACTGATAGAATCAAAAAGAGAGAGCGATCCAACATGGGAAGTGGGATACACAGCAGACTCATAGAATGGCAGATGTAAAAGAAAAATAAATAAATAAATAAATAAAATAAAATAAGGATATTTCCAAAGACTGATGGAAACATGGAATTAAAATATGTGTTTAGGCATAGGCTTTTGGTATAGAGGCTTAAATGACCACTGGAATACCATATCTCATATTGGAATGACTGTTCATTACTGGCTCCTCCTTTTCCTGTCCTGCTTCCTCTTAATGAATACACTTGGAGGCACAGGTTATGACTCAAGTACTTAGGTCACTGCCACCCACATGGAAGACCTACATGGAGTACCAGGCTCCTGGTTTCAGTCTGACCTGGGCCTCATAGTTGGAGGCAAGTTGCAGAGTGAAGCAGTGGATGGAAGATCTCTGCCTGTTTTTCCTTATCACTCTATCTTTTAAATAAAATGCAAATAAGTAAATAAAAGTTTTAAAATAAGTTTATTTTAGTGCAAACATTTTCAAAACCCATGCAAAGGAGGTGTCTTCAAAATATTCATGGATAATGTGTATCATGAAGAAAACTACATGTGCATTAAAACGTTTTATTCATTACCTTTTAATTCCACTTTCATGATCTTTTTGAACTACTCTGGTAGGTAATAATATCCAATTCATCAAATGAAGTATTTGTATTGTAATTTAATTTGTATTGTAATATAATATATTTTAAATATTTTGTTTAAAATTTTTAAAGTTTTTGCCTACTATTCTCATAGTTATTGAGAGGGAATAGCAATTCCTTGTATAAAAATTACTGATTCTTTTTTATTTCTCTCTTTAGTTGTTAAGAACTGGGATTGATGAATGTTTATAGGCCTTGTCTCTTTCAGTGAGGAACAGTATTTTTTTCTTCATACTATTTGTTGAACTCTTTTACTTAATGTAGGGTTAATTATCCAATCATTAAGTAAACAAAAATAAATTTTTGTAAAAATTAAGAGTGGGAATGTGAGAAGGAGGAAGAGGAAGGATTGTAACATGGTGGGAAGGGAGGGTAGGGGGAGAAGTGTCACTAGGTTTCTGAATCTGTATATAGGAAATACATGAAACTTCTACAACTTAAATAAAATTTTTAAAAATACATAGGAAAAAAAGAACTGAGATTGAAGTTTGATTGCTATAGAATGACCCATTTTATATTTAGTAATATGTCTGCCTTGCCTGAAGTCTTTTTTTCTGATCAAAGCAAATCATCAGATTAGTTCTGGGTAATATTTGCAATTTCTTAATCTTCTCTATCTTCTTCCATTAGAACTATTGTGTCCTTATATCAAAATGTATGACTGAAAAAAGCTATAAATTAAACAAACACTTAAAATATTATCACATTAAATATCACTAAGTTAGCATCAAATACCTAGCAACAAACCTAACAAAATGTATGCAATGTTTATTCACTAACATTTTAAAATAATTCTGTTATAAATTGGAAAAATCTTTAAAAGATGATGGATTTACTGTTTTTATAATTGGAAGACTTAATATTGTAGAGAGTCTCCCAACCTTATGGTTTGACTCAAGATAATTTAGTTCCTGGTGATACAAAAAGCCAGGTGATACCTGAAGTCATCAATGAAGTCCAGAAAGGATCACTTAGCAACTTCCTTTCATTTCTTATGATTTATAGCTAATTTTAGAGAAATACCAAGACACTGATTTTCAAGAGATTAAAAATACTAAACTAAAACTT